TTGGGATGGAAATTCAAGCCATTACTATCAGAGATTCTTTCAAGATAAAATTACCAAACATTTTTTTTTCAATGCTGAAAACTGAACCAAGGACCTTGGGGGTGCTAGGCAACATTCCAAGTCCTGACGATGAGTTTTGGATAATAACATCTCTTGGACTAGCCATTGAAGAAAATTGATTAGCAAAGATTAATCAAGGTATCTGGACAGTTGGCTCAGGAAGCAAGAACACTTCCTCCACAAGCATAGGGACCCAAGTTTATATACCATCACTCTTGTTAAAAGCAAGATGTGGTCATCCATTTGTCTTTAACCCTAGTGCCATGGAAGTTGGAGACAGAACAGTTTTTCGGACTTTCTGACTGCCAATCTAGTTCCAAGTTCAGTGAGAGAGCCTGTTTCAAGGAAATTAGGTGGAGAGTGATAAGTCAGGTCACCTGATGTCCTCTTTCATCCTTCATATGCACCCCCATTTTCCATGATACCCATGTGTACATATATTACACATACACACACACATTCACATGCTACTATAATAATAAAAAGAAAAACAGTCTGGTGTTGTGAATTTAATGGGTTTAAATCAATACATGCAGACAATAATTTAAAGTATTGTATAGTTCTGTATACAATCATATGCCGAGAATTAAATGCACCTATAGACAAGCTCAATTGAAAGAATTATCTTGGACTGTGTCATATACATATAGGGTCATACTTTTTCCTAGTATTTTTTTCAAAAGTGGTATCCAATGAGCTATTGAGTATTAGTGGAGACAAAAAAGAGATAATGTAGCATAAAGCTTCACCAGGTTCCATTCTTATCTCATTGTTTACTATCTAAGAATGGAGGCACAAAATTCTCCGCAAACTTTATCCACCACTGTCTTTCAAAATTGCATGGTTCTTAGGACTCATGACATGCAGAGTGCAGGACACTGCAAAATTGCAGTAGTCCAAAGATGTGTGCATATCAGAGTTAATCATGGCTGTGGTTTAGTGATACATCTGTCCTAAACACCTGCTCTAAAAAGAAATGAAAACTATTTATTGAAATTCCTATTTGTCCACTTGAGTGTCATTTTGTTAAACCGTGTCTTTGTGTGTTTTGTCTCTCTGTTGCAGGTCACCATCTACTTTGGTTACATAAAGTTCTCTTCCTGTGTTGTTGTTGCTGTTGCCTTCTTCTTCTTTTCCTCCTCCTCCTTCTTCCCTTCCTCCTCCTCCTCCTTCTCCTGACTCTGTGATCTATTTCCACGTGATTCTCATTTCAGTCACACGTCCCTTCCTGTTTGCCATGCTCCCCTGCTTTCCAGACTTGCCTCTGTGCCACTTTCCATTGAGTCTTCATTTACCGGTTGGGCCAGCACGTGTAGCTCTCCTTTCCCATCCCTTCTGATGCCTTGTTTCTTCCTCACTGTCCTTCACATTCGATGTTTGCTCTAATCGAGTCACTTCATGGTAAAATGCCTCCCATTTTTTTCATCTGCTCCATGAATCGTGACGAAGACCCCAGAGTTAATCTTATGAAACTGTTCTTTGGTGTTTTCTCTCTTAAAATAATAATAACCTTCTGCACATGCAGTGGCATCTCTTTTGGCATTTCCCTTGGTGGACCAGGCTAGGGTCAAGTTCTTTGAGGAAATGCTGGCCAGGCTGCCATCTCAGGCAGGTGGGCTGTACAGGCAGAGGCTCTCAGATTTTAGTTCCTGCCAAGGCAGATGGCTGAGGCATCTGTGGGATTCTCTGTGTAACCTCTTCCCACACCTCCTTCCATATTTTAGAAGTGATGCAGTGTAGGAATGTTCTGTGGGCACCGTGCATGTCTTCTATTACAGACAGAGCCTGTCCACGGGGACTTTAGAAAGAGAGCATTGTTCCTGCATCTTTTGTAGTACATCTGCCACCAGCTATCCCTGAGCCTCTGTCTTTATCCAGGTGCTTAAAGGGACCCACATGCCCAAGATCAGAGATTATTTATGTTTAGCACATTTTATAAAAGGTGTTTGAAACACTGGTAACAGGATAAGGGATTGCAGGAGAGGGATATAGACCTGAGCTCAGTTCCCCAGGCCAGAAGATCCCATGGCAGTGACTCGGGGATGGTCAGATGTAAGTAAATACAGCAGTATTTCTCCTTACAGCTCTGGTTAGGAAGTGGGAAGCTGAGCCAGAGGAAGAAAACACATTCACACAAACCTGCACACTGATAAGAAGTCCAAGCAAGCAAATGAACAAAATCAAAGACTGAGAAGAGGAGCTGCTTTGGTTTAGTCACCTTGATATACTGTAATTAAGGAGTCTGATTTCTTTAGAAAACTGTCCTCTTCAGTGTTCTCCAGAGCTCCCCGCCCTGCCCCTCACCCCCTGCTTTGGAAACTAAGACTGGGAGAGTTCAGTCTGAGTTCCTGCCCAGTGGCCATCCCTTCCACTCCTCCTATAGGGTGAGCACAGGGAAAGCAGTCCCCAGCCTCCAAGTTGTTAGGGCCTGGAACCAGGGGTCTGTGCAGTGGTAGGGCTGTGGAGAGTTTTTTGGGGGGGGGTTAGTGGTAACGGTCGGCCTGAGCGCACGTGTGGATCCTCTTTTGTGTTTACACTGAGGGCTTCGGCACTATTAACAGGTAGAACTGGCCAGCGGGAGTTGGCCCACTACAGGAAAGATTCATCTTTAGTTTGCCTCTACTGGGTTTTTTGTGAATTTATAAATGATATAGGTGCTCCCTCTTGTGGTTATTGTTAAGTTGCATGTTGTTTTCTCTTTCAAATGTACTTTTTTTTTTTTCCTGTTTAGTGTAATGTTACAAATTACTTGTTAAAATACAATATGTAGTATACATAATCAGCATTTTCATCTTTTTAAGCATCTATCATTTATCTTTGATATCTTTTATCATTATGGGATATCCTGTTTGCTGGTTCTTAGTCTTGCTGATAAAAAAAAAAAATTGAAAATGGACTAAGGAACTCAAGGAAAATTTAGGAGAATATGTATGAGAAGAGCAACCTTGGAGGTAAGCTGCCAGGAGGAAGGAGATAGAAAAGGCAAAGAGCAAGCCTTGGCTCTGGTAGAGGCCAGGAAAGCAGGCAGGTTCAGCTACGGAAGTTTGTGCAGGGTAGTCTTCAAGGAGAAGGAGGACTTTCAGTGTCAAGTCCAGCAGGCTTCAGATTTTGGCCAGTATCTGATGAAGGGAATGTGAAACATTATGCTCCCTTTGAGAACTCACAGAAAGAAATGGGCAGGTTAGCAGTGAGGTCTCTAAGTAACTACGCAGACCTAGGGCTTTGGGGTCTATACCTACAGCACTTACTAAGGGAATGGTTGCTCCTTCAATCTTCTTATCATTGATTTACGAGTATCACCTTTCCCCAAGGATGCTCTGGCCAGGTGATGCATGGGCTCATATGGATTAACCCTTACAGAAGGGGATGATGGTCTTGTGATATTTGAAGCAGCTTGGAATGTTATGTCTGTATCCAGACAGAGTCAGAGATACAAATTAGGTCTTCCCCCTCCCTCTCCCTGTCCTTCTCTACTCAGCCATCTCCAAATCATGTAACAGAGTAGACTAAAGACAATTGAAGGAAAATAAAACTATATGCTGAGTGTGGTGCATACCTTTAATCCCTGTACTCACAAGGCAGAGCCAGGCAGATCCCTGAATTCAGTCAAGCCTGGTCAAAGATGAAGTTCCAAAACAGACAGGACTATACAGAGAAACCTTGTGGCAAAATAAATAAAGAAAGAAACCAAACACAAAATGAATAAAACTGTATAAAATAACCTTGGCTTTCCATTAATGATCCTCAACAATTTCACCCCCTCATATGGTGTTTTAAATGTTGTGGGTTTTTTTTTTTTTCAAGATAATGCTCATTCTATTTTGAAATACTAAAATACGTTTATACCTGAATATTATTAGAGGAAGAAAATGTGTAAATCACGCCATCTCTCATTGATTACATTTTGTTATTTCGTACTGCACCTATGTATCTGGGTAACACAATTACTCACCTCCTCCCCTTTCTGCATAAGTGATGTTTTCTGTCTGTTCATTTGTAAACTCATTAACTTTCTACAAGGGTCTTTCATGGTGGAAAGTCCTGCATCTGACTCTCTGTGATGCTTGCTGTATACTCTTGAATGTATGGACCTCTCTTCAATTAGTTTAATATAAATATATATGTGTATATATGTATATATGTGTGTCTGTGTGTATAGATGTATATATAATTCTGATTCTAGTTGATTATGCATCTGTTTGATTGCTTTTGGTTGACTTTCCTATTTTTAACTTGCATTCTTTTGAAAAATTTAAAGTTTGTTTTGTTGTTTTCTGTGCATGAGTGTTTTGCTTGACTATTTGTGCGTGTACCACACACATGCCTGGAGCCTATGGAGGTTAAAAGAGGCCCCTGTGAGCTGCCACATTCTTGTTGCAAGTTGGACTTGGATCCTTTGCATGAGTAACAAGTGCCAGTTCACTACCAACCCTCCAGCCCTCACCCAAGTCTTCGGGTTAAGTTTTTCTCATTTATCCTTATATATCAACTGTATTTTTTTCCTTGCAAGCCTTCCAGTCTTTACTCCCCTTTACCTGTTCCCTTTCCAGTAGTTTGTTCTTTTATTTCTACTTTGTGCTTTTTCCCCCCACAACATCTTCATGAGCTCATTAGCATACATCATGAGTTCTTGACTGAAGAGGTAACTGCATTTTTTACTTTTATTTTTAATTTTTGGCCCCTTATCATCACTGGTATACTTAAATTGGTTACCTTCAAACGTCTTAGATTCAAAACTTAAGTAATATTTCTTTATCTGATGTGAGAGTAATTTCTAAATTTGCTCAAATAACTTATAAACCTCTTTATGTGTACCTTCATCTGTTTTAAATGCAATGAACATGAAGTGATTGGAAGAGATCTCTCATGTAAATGTGATTTGTGAGTACATATTTAAGTTGATGGCTGAATGGGAAATTCACCTTTCCCCTCCTTTAAAGATACTTGCCTGACAACAAGGAATAGCACCAGCTGCGTGTCTTCATCCTCTTTGCTTTCTAACTACTTGTATGTCTTTGTCCTGGGACAACTGTTACTTGGGACTGGAGGAACTCCACTCTACACCCTGGGAACGGCCTTTATTGATGACTCTGTGCCCACACACAAGTCTTCTCTATATATAGGTGAGTGAACTCTTTGTATAATTTCGATTTGTTGTTTGTTCGCTGTGTAGGGAGAGTTGGAAGAGCCTTTGCCTTGTATGCTTTCCATTCCTATCACTAAGGGAGAAAAAACAACAAAAACAAACAAAACCAATTGCGAAGCCATGGGCATTTTATTTAGGTAATTGTGATTGTACTTTGTTTAAATGTTTACTCTAATACCCAGTTTGTTGTTAGGATGGACAGTGGTTATATTGTGGTCCATCCTGAGCATGCTGACATTCATGAATAGGTAGAACCAGGGGATTTTACTCAGAGTATAGTGTATGTGTGTGGGGGGAGGGGGCCTGCACTCGAGAGCATGCAGGAGCACACCCTCAAGTAAGAAAATAAAAATGTTTACAAGGTGTAAATACAGTATATTTCCTTTGCAAATGCTTTGTTATATATGGCAACAATATAAATATCTAATAGCCAGCAGTAAGCTGTTCATCTCTACTGCTACTAAAAGTGAGAGAACTCACCAGGAATCATGACTAAGGATGAATGGCTTGCTTTTAAGAAATAGACTTATCTCTAGTCAGTGGTGGTACATGCCTTTAATCCCAGCATTCAGGAGGCAGAGGTAGGTGGATCTCTGTGATTTTTGAGGCCAGCCTGGACTACTGAGGGAGTTCCAGGATAGCCACAGGTTATACAGGGAAACCTTGTCTCTAAAAACAACAAACAAAGAAAAAGAAATCAACCCATCAGCATATGTAGGTGTTAGATTCTGCTGCACAGTAAAATAAAGATTTCTAAGTGGATGCCTGGTAGGGAGACTTCTTGCTTTGCCTTATTTTCTCCTACAAGATTGTAAACTATAATTACTGCAGAAGGAAAACAGTGTATGTACAATCCCCACCACCAGTTACATAAGATAGACAGATTTGTAATTACTGGGTTTAACTGTTATTATTTTAATCAAGTGGGCTTTTATAGTGAGTCATTAATTTTTGATTCCTCTACATAACTCTTAACCAAATGATACCTTTCATGTAATAATTTTTTAAATCTCTGCAATTTTGATGTAGGTCTAATCATTAGGAATTTTCTTTAGTAACATATATTCCTTCACTGCTGTTAGAATATTGAGCAAAGCTGTTTATATGACTATTCCAAATGTCTTTAATCTTTTCCTAGGAATCGGCTACTCCATGTCAATCCTAGGCCCTGCCATTGGCTATGTGTTGGGTGGACAACTGTTGAGAATGTACATTGATGTTGCAATGGGACAAAGGCAAGACAATATCTGCTTTTCTTTTAGTTTTTTCCTTCTATTTCGGTAAAGGGGACCTCGTTTCTCATTCAGAATGTCATGGGGGATCAGGAAATAAAACAATGGACACTATTTTTACGTGATACCCACTGTGTCTGCAGCACTTTCTGGATCTCTTAGCATAATGTTCGTAAATAAGGACGTCTCATAGAATCACTAGTGATTTTTTAAAATATACTTCATATTTCCTTTGTGTCACTCAAGAATAATAATTCAATTAAAATGAGGTTCTCTATAGATTTAGTTGCAGGTAGATAAGATAGTCTATAAGTATCCAAATGAGAATAGGCTCTCTGTTAGCTCCAATAATGTATAAAAAACAGAACAAAAACCATGTTGCTTTCATAACCAAGGCATGACAAGATACTGATAATTAACAATATTTATCCATTACTTAATATCTACACAGCACAATAAACCAACAGAAAATGTGCTGTGTAGATTATAAGTAATGGATTACATGTTATCCTATTCAATTCCCCCAATATTTTTATTCAACAGTAGCACACAGTTAGTAAGTGGGAAACACGTGAATTGCAATAGATCTTTTGGGTTTTACCTCTCTCTTTGCCTTGGATCATCTTTTCTTTGTATTAGAGAAGTTTCTGCTCTGTGGTGAGGAACCATCTTCCCCCTTTCGCACTCACTGAAGGTTTAACGGTGCAATTCTCCACATGACAGCAAGCAGTGAATAAATGACCTGGGGCTCTGACTGGTTCTCTGTGATGTGAATTCTGGGTTTTCCTTACAGACACAGTATAAAATGTGCTCAGTACAGTCACTGGGATAGGACCGTTAGCTTGTAAAATCAGGTATTGACATCAGAAAGAGACTGACAAGAGTAATGTGTCTGGGGGGAAGGTCTTATTGATATTAAAATAGGAGAACCGCTGTACAAATTTTCAGTAAATCATTCCAGAATGATTTCATGAAAGTGTTAAATGGAGCATACTTTATGAGACATTTTAACATGGGTCAGTGATCTACTGTGAGATAGATGTATTTAGTTTACTACAATGAATGAAAACAAAAACTTAAATAATGCATAGAAATTCTGTGTATGTTTTTAAATATTTGTCATGTTTATATGTACTATTGAACATTTTAAACCTTTATTCCATATTTGTATTTTCTGTGCATGAATCTTTTGTCAGCACATGTGCCTGTGCTGACACGACCATATGCATGTGCCTGTCCACCATATGCATGTGCCGTGCTAGAAGAGGCCATCAGACCCTGGGGACTTGAGTTACGGTGGTTATGGGCCTTCATGTTGCTGCTGAGAATTGAACCTTGGTCCTTTGCTCTTAAGCCCTAAGTCATCTCTTTAGCCCCCACGTTTGCCATTCTATGATGCTTTCCAAAGAATTATACTCCATGTCACTTATCTGTTATCTGACGCATTGTGACAGTTTCATCTTACAGACGTTTAATTGTTATGACCGAGTTCTAATAAGACTGAATGAATTTTGCCTTTTCTTTTTTGTACTTATAGTTCTGATGTCACTGAGGATGATCCCCGGTGGTTGGGTGCTTGGTGGATTGGATTTCTTTTAGCTTGGCTCTTCGCTTGGTCTTTGATAATACCTTTCTCCTGTTTTCCAAAGTATTTACCAGGTAAATGCATCTCTTCTAGTTCAAAAAGTTGTACTGTAATTTTAGTTGTTTTTAAGGTGATTAATAACAGCAGAATTATCCTTTTTATTTATAGACCTTCATGGTCTGCTAATGCATATGTTTGAAATCTAACGTCTTAGAAAATATTCATAGAGACCCTAATATTTATGGATTATTTCATTCCCATTTATGCTTATTGAGTTATAAATTCTTTTCAATAAAATTGCCTTTGTGATTTAATTTTTGCCTATGTACATGCAAGATACAATTGTAAACTATTATCTCATGTTTCTTTAGTTATTAATTTTAAGGACCAATTTGTGTTAAATCCTTCAAGCTGACTATTGATAGTTGTACAAGTACTTACTTTTTTTTCAATTGTCCTCAAGCACATTCTGTCATGTATTAATTTGTAAGCCATCATTTCAATACTAGTCCTTGAAAAACTTCTTAGTAGAAATGAATGTCAGTTCTTTTATGAGTTCTTGTTTCTGAAGCATTTTTTTTTTCTCAAACTTGAAGGCATATATTTATTTCCATTGTCATTTGCAATAGAGCTTTTGGAGGTGTGTGGAGGTGTGTAAGCATATGTGTAGAAGTATGTGGAAGTGTTTTTGGGGTGGGTGGATTTGAGCTTGGAGGTCTGTGGAGGTGTGTGGAAGTGTGTGTGGAAGTATGTTGGGGAGGTGTGAATGTGGGTGGAGGTGTGGGGGGATGGGTAAAGGAAAACTCATACACTGGAAGCAGGTGAACACATGGGTGTCTCTACTGTCCTGGCCCATTCCATTATAGCAGCACTTGATGATACTTTCTCAAACTTATCCACAGAACTATGGTTTCAAACAAAGGGCAAACATTACTTCACCTTCCAGCATGTGTCTATCACCTCCTTTAGGTGAACAAAGGAAAACAGCCACACATGTATTTTAATCTATAAAAACTGCCCCCTCCCAACATTTCAAATGAACAAAGACAGTTATCAGACTTCAACTGAAGAATAATATTTATTGGGAGCAAAACTGTGTCATTAAATTAAAATTCATTGACTAAACATTAATGTTTACACAGATTGGAATTCCATTTATTAGTTGATATTTTCAGGGTTTTTGTTTTTAATTTTTAAACAAGGTCTCACACTACAGCCCACAGATTCATGCTAATCCTTTTGGTATAACTTGAGTTGTGAGTGCTGAGCCATCACACCTGGCTTCATGAGTTTAATGAATTATCAGCCCGTAGCTCAGCCCAGTGACAGACATAGATATTTAAACAACATTAGTAACAGGAGAAAACTGAACCTAGTGGAGTTTACATACTCATAGAGTAAGCACACTTAAAAATGATTAGTGAAATGATAAATAGTAAAACTAGCACATTTGTTCTACAACCCCCCTCCAGGAACAGCAAAAATTCAAGCTGGCAAAACTTCCCAGACTCATCAGAATAGTAGTAATTCCTTCCAACATACAGATGAAAATTTTGGGAAAAGTATTAAAGATTTTCCAAGTGCTATAAAGGTAAAATAGAAGTTTGCTTTCTCTCCCACCCACCTCTCTTTCTCTCTCTGTGTTTGTGCGTGCGTATTTTCCCCACAATCTCAAAGTAACTCAGTGCTTACACATGTGAACATGCAACACACATGCACTCTCCCATCATTTTTTTTTTTAAATTGAGACAGGGTTTCTCTGTGTAGCTTTGGAGCCTGACCAGGAAGGTCACCTGTCTCTGCCTCCTGAGTGCTGGGATTAAAGATGTTCGCCGCCACCACCCGGCACCTTCACATCATTCTATAAGCTAGTCTCTGATCTATTACTAGTTAAGCTTTTATATGTAACATTTTAGATTGAATTTCATTGCCCTTTGAGCTCCACAATAGAATAATTGAGAGAGAGTGGTTCCTCTTTATATGCAGTCCATCACTCCAAGCCATTTCCCTTAGGCTGTGCATTGATCAATTGTCTTTGGACTCTGCTGTCCTTTAGCCTCCTTCCCTTTGGATCATGCCTCCTTATTCTCAATTGTGTCTGGTTTTTACTTCCTCCTTTCTATTGAAAGGTGAGAAGCCCTGTTTCAGTTCTCCTCCCCTGCCTAGCTTTGGGAATGTTTTCGTCTATTCTTAGCAGGCAGCTTACCAAGCACGACACCAACAATGTTCTCATGTGTCCTTCGTGTCTTGCAATTTGGTGTGTTGGGCTGATGAACTAATATTATGAAAGAATTGGCAGTAGAGGTACCTATGCAGTTTAACTTCATGTCTATCTAAGTCTCTTAGTTACTGAGTCCTATAATTACAATATTCATTCATGCTCAATTTCAAGTTCTCCATTTAGTGGATACAGGAATTTAAATCTATTTGAAGTAACATAACAAGGGGTGGATTTATAGCATAGATATTTACTCTAATCTCAGAAAAGGGAACCTTCCCAAATGGCCTTGTGCCATCTCCCCTGGTCTCTTGAGGGCAATCAAGGCATAATAACCCAAATAGTGAGTCACGAGTCACTTATCAATTCCCTAGGTGCTCTACATATAAATGTCCTCTCTCTCTCTCTCTCTCTCTCTCTCTCTCTCTCTCTCTCTCTCTCTCTCTCTCTCTATCTCTCTCTGTGTGTGTTATTATACTTTCCTGCTGGAAGAAAGTCCAAGTTGAAATGTTTGCATTTATCATGCTTCTCTGTCAATGTCATAGTTTGCAATATAATCAGCTATTCACTGAAACTGTATTTTTTCCTTAGAATTTGATGAGGAATACTGTCTTTATATGTTTAGTTCTATCAACTACTTCTGAAGCATTAGTTACTACGGGATTTGCCACGTTTTTACCTAAATTTATAGAAAATCAATTTGGAATGACATCCAGCTTTGCAGCTACCCTTGGAGGTAAAAACCTTTCTTTGTTATCACTTGGTGGACTGGTCTACCTAAGCACGTTGCTTTTATTGAGAGAGTAGGTCATTTCTGAATAGTGCATACTACCCAAAGTTTTGGGTAGAAGTTTCTGATTCTCTGAAGTCAATGTTCTATGTCAAGCTAACACCGACAAAAGTGGGCTAAGAAGAATGTATTAATTCTGTTAATATTTAATTTTATTTACCTTCTACCTCCTGTATCTATGACATGTTTTTGTGCATGTGTTTTTGTGTCAGGCTTCTGACTGTGGAAGCCATGGTGGTGCTGGTTGTGATATTTTCCAGGTGTCCATATGAGTAACTGAGCATAATTGTGTGTTTTTCATTATCTTACTTCTCATTAGGGGCTGCTTTAATCCCTGGAGCTGCTCTTGGTCAAATCTTAGGTGGTGTTCTTGTTTCAAAATTCAAAATGAAGTGTAAAAATACAATGAAGTTTGCATTGTTTACGTCTGGAATAGCACTTATGCTGAGTTTTGTATTTATTTATGCAAAATGTGAAAATGAGCCATTTGCTGGTGTTTCTGAATCATATAATGGGTAAATATATTTCAATGCTTTTTACATTAATTATGTATTCATTTGCAAGTATTTCCTTTCTCAAAACAGATGATTAGGAATTGCCTTTTGAAAACAATGTAGATGCCTTTTGTTTGTTTCAGTGCAAGATTTTATGGAAATTTGTCTTTTTTGTTTTATTTTGTTTTAATTTGAATATTTAGTGTTCTCTCTAAAGCTGTAGGTGTTAATTAAGTCGGCAGTTTAAGGGCAAGGTGTTTGGCTGGAGGATTCAAAAAGGAAAAAAAAAATATGCAGAGAGTTTTTGTCTTGTAGAGATTCATATATAATAGGGAAGAAGTCCCAAAACTAGCAGGTCTTCTCCAAACTGTCCTGTGATAGCCCCTTCCAGCTGGTTTTCTGCAAACTGTCCTGTGATAGCCCCTTCCAGCTGGTTTTCTGCAAACTGTCCTGTGATAGCCCCTTCCAGCTGGTCCTCTGCAAACTGTCCTGTGATAGCCTCTTCCAGCTGGTCCTCTGCAAACTGTCCTGTGATAGCCTCTTCCAGCTGGTCCTCTGCAAACTGTCCTGTGATAGCCCCTTCCAGCTGGTCTTCTGCAAACTGTCCTGTGATAGCCTCTTCCAGCTGGTCTTCTGCAAACTGTCCTGTGATAGCCTCTTCCAGCTGGTCCTCTGCAAACTGTGATAGCCTCTTCTACCATCAGAGGCCAGGGAGATCCTGCTTTCTTTTGCTTGACCTCCCCTCCTCTAGCACTTTTCTCCATCCTCTAGCAAACCCATAGTCTTTGTAAGTTATTTACTTTGATTATTTTGTTATAGCTACAAAAAAAAAAAAAAAAAAAAAAAAAAAAAAAAGGACTATGGCAACATCCTAAAGAGAATTTAACATTTTAATTTCCTACCAACTTCAATATTTTAAAATTGAAGCTATTCTTTTGATTTTCCAAGACAGGATTTCTCCGTGTAGCCCTGGGTTTCTTTGTGTAGCCCTGGCTGTCCTGGAACTGGCTGTGTAGAACAGGCTGTCTTCAAACTCACAGATCCACCTATCTTTGCCTCCTGAATGCTGTGATCAAAGCTGTCTCCCCATCGCTGGCAGACGTTATTCTTTATGTTAAAATTATCTTATTTGGGTTGAAGATACACTAAAAACATACTAAAATAAAACTAAACCTGCATAATACTTACTGTCCTATTTACTGTGAAATTCACATTAATTTTAGAGAAATAAGTGTCTTCTTGTACTATCCTCCAGACAAGTTCCTCCCTTTAGTGAGTTTTCTGGGCCAGGTTTGTTTTGCTACCAAATACTAAGCCACTAGCATAGATCAGGCAGGTGAGAGGTCATAGCAGTACATCTGAGAGCCTCATTGTGTTGTTTTAATTATTTCATGACCTTTGTATATGACTCTTGAGGGAGGTGTCACTCCAGGTATGGGATTTCATAACTTTGTGTAATACCATATTCACATGGCGTTAAATCCATTTAGGATAGTTTGCCAATAACAATAATCTTGATTTGTAATTATTCACGTGTTTGTAATTCTTTCAAGTTAATATGATGCTCAGTGTTCTATATAAATGTTTGGTTAAGCTCCATTACATTTAGTCAACACTTCTTCATGCTTCCTCTTATAGACAGTAAATTCTTACTCTCAAACAGAGAGAGGAAAACAAAATGGTGAATGAACAATGGGTTGGGTGACTGGAACTCTAGAAAGTTCTGTAGCATTCTCAAAGAGAGGTCTTATAATTTTATTTAACTATACTTAAGAAAGGCTTCATGACTTAAAGGAAAATGGGGCTTACAAGTTTCAAGGAGCTGAGAAAAAGGAAAGGGAGAAAGTACATATGGCCAAGTATATAAATGTTATTAAAAGTAAAGGCTACTTTTCAGCCACCAGTTTGAGTGGAATTGGGGTTACATGTCTGAAAATAAAAAAAAAAAAGGAAAGAAAGAAAGAAAGAAAGAAAAAATAAAACTATGGAAATGTTGGAAATATACTTTGGAAGCCAGATGTGGCAGTATATGCTTTTAATCCCAGCATTTGGGGGTCCGAGGAGGTGGATTTCTGTAAGTCTGAGGCCAGCCTGATCTACAAAGCAAGTCTCAGGATAGTCAGGACTACAGAAAGAAACTCTATTTGGGGGGGGGCAGGGAATAAAGAAGAAAGTAAATATACCTCAAAAGCATTTACTAGTCTACTAACACTTTTCTATTTTTTCATCACTTGTAAATTTTTATAAAATACAGAGACATTGACTGGAGCTTGATAATGAGGAATATGTGTTTCTTTCTTCATTTCTGCTGTGCTTTGCATAAAGTCTTCCTACACTATTAAAACTATCGTGAAACTGTATTACTAACTTAAGTTGCAAGGGCGATTTTTGTCTAGTCTCCTTTCTGTTGGCCATGGTAAGCTTTTTGTGGGCAGAGACTATCATCCTTTTGTAATAAAAGTGCGTTTGACAAAGATGCAGATGGCAGCGTTTTACAGGGCACAGCTGCATAAGAAGGTACTCCAGTCAGAAAGAGAGAGTGCTTCCAACATTGTATGTATTAATTCATTTGGGTGTGTGTGTGTATGTGGAGGTCAGAGGATGACTTGTGGGATTTGCTTCTCTCTAACATGTGGGTTCCAGACTCTGAGTTCAGTTCATCAGGTTTGGTGGCATAGGCCCCTACCACCTCAGCCATCTTTCCAGCCCCTTACAAACTAGCTTTTGATTTTCATTTCCACCCAATTTGTTTCCCCCCTTTCTATCTACATTGATCCTCTTTCTTCACAAACTTCTCCTCCTACTACTCACATACCAACATTTCCAGTTTGTTAGATTATTTTTTTAGAGACTATGATGTTTCATTGGTTTACATATTTCTTTTACAATTGCAGAATGATGCCTTTTCTATCTCATCTCTGGCTCTGGTTCTCTCTTTTAAGTTATGTTTCTACCATTCTGCATAAAGTAGCACATCTGAGATTTGCTATGTGAACATGAAGTGAACAGACTTCCCCAAACCTCGGCTTAGCTTTCTAGAATTGGTGAATTTTTAAGAGTGTAACATTGTACATTACAATGTGTATCACAGTATCATAAAGTTAGATATGTCTACACTCTGTATGGAAGATCTTATCACTATCATGATTTCTGTTAAATACACATGTAAGTGGACATGAAGATTTCTAACTTTGGGTCAGTTCTCCAACAACTTGAGAGTCTTAATATATGTAAAACCATAGTGATTATCTCTTCCTCAGAACTGTGATCTCCTCTGCTGAATAGTAGGTATGCCTTCAAATTCCTTGAATCAGCCCTTCATCATCTACCAATTGTCAAATCTTACTGATTATATGGTAAAAAGTTTTCTCCAATTTTTCTTATAGTCAAGTTGTATTTCAGTTTCCCTTTATATTTTGATCACTTGTTTTGTGTGTTATGACTGTTTTCCTTCCCTCAAGTTCATACTCTGTGCAACCTTATAGGAAAAATGCTTACTAAGAAAGTGTGAGAACTGAGGTCAGAATCCATGTAAATGTTGGATGAACACGCCCACCTACCTCTAATTCCATCACTCCAAAGACAGACTATGGGTCCCCAGAGTTGTTAGGCCAGCCTGTATCAGAGATCTCTGGGATTAGTGAGAGACACTGTCTCAATTAATAAAGTAATCAAGGAAGCTGTTCAATGTTAACCTCAGGCACATGGACATGTATTCACCTACACAGATGCAAACATGCACACACATCCATATATAGCATGCACATATCAAAACATTTTTTGGTGAACTTTTGACAATATCACTGGGTATATATTTATAATAATTAACAGTCATTGCTCTTGAACAAGGCCCTTGAAGCAGCCATTAATCTTGACCCTGACATCTTACAGGAACATTCCTCTATTTCATTCTCTGTTCCAGACACTATTTCTACTTCTTCTCTGCCCCATTTCTCCCCTTACAATCACCCACTGTGTGGCTATATTTTGTTCGCCTTTAGGCTTACCTAGGAGGTAGCTCCTCAGGTGTCCTTTCTCCAAATGTTTTCTCTTGTTAGTTGTCCTGCCTTGGAATTTCTAAAATGCATCTTTATGTATCAGGAAACTACAGTCATCAGATTAGCATACAATTAACCCACCTCTATGCCTCCACTGAAATCTTTCAGGAATGATGCTATCTTATTCAGCATACTCCCATTACTCAACATAAGGCCTACTTATCACCTGATTCAGACACATTGCTGAATGTATGAATAGGTAAGACACTAGGGACGCATTTTTGATCAGAGTACATTTATATTGGGACTTCTGTGCCCTCTATATCAGGACATCTGTGACTTCTCCCATACAGGAAGAGAGAGTATAACCAAAACATCATGAAGTCTGAAGTCAGGAGGTTTACTTTTTGCAAAGACAGATTCTGTGGTGATATGAAAGTGTTATACCATATCACTCTTTTTGGTTTAGAAATGTTGCTCACACTTTCTGGACAAAGCTACTTGTAACTTGTGCGTAGCAGTGGGGAATGCTACTAGTCAATCCACAGATCATCCACAGAACCAATAACTGTCACTGGGAAACTCTGACATTTACTGAGACACTCCCTCCATTTTATTTCTCTCTCTCTCTCTCTCTCTCTCTCTCTCTCTCTCTCTCTCTCTCTCTCTCTGTGTGTGTGTGTGTGTGTGCACGTGCTCATGTGACAGTTATTAATAGCATTTACTTGACTGCTTTCCTCCTTAGGGTTTACTCTAATCAAAATGCTTCCCCACCTACTCATTCATTCTGCAGTGTGTCTGAGGAGGTGATAAGTAGGCCTTGCATTGAGTAATGAGAACTCAAAGTTGAATAAGACAGCATCATTCCTCAAAGATTTCAGTCTAGGCATAGAGGTAGGTTAATTGTATGCTAAGCCTCACTGAAAAGCAGAAACTTTGCTTTATTCATTTAGTGCTTACGTGGTGAGTGACTGACTGAATGGGAGTATAGTAAGATACACTGTGTCTGAATTGTCCCTTAGGAGTAGCATCACAATTCTCACCTTCTCCATTTTTTTCTTGTTTACAGGACAGGAGAACTGGGGAATTTGACTGCTCCCTGTAATGCCAATTGCAACTGTCTGCGGTCCTATTATTACCCCCTCTGTGGGAGTGATGGGATCCAGTACTTTTCCCCCTGCTTTGCAGGTTGTATAAACTCGGTTTCAAGCAGGAACCCAAAGGTAGTTGTTTTTCTACTTTGCCTCTGTGAATCAGTGTGTGTTGTGTATTGTGATGGCATCTTGACACTCACAGTGGGCTACTCAACCTTCCTTCTGTTTGTTCCACCTCCCCAGTTAAGCAACCCTGGCCTCTTCCTCCACACAAGACTCCTTCCTTCATGTGTCAGGCAACCATTGCTGAACTCAGCAAGGCAATTACATTACCATTTTGTATTGCTTTTTTTTTTCTCAATTATAAGATTCTTGAGCATGGCTACTAATCAGTAATATAACAAAACTTGTTTTCAAATTTCCCATACCGCAGATACATTGTAAATCATCCAAATCATTAATTCAGCCTCAAATATAAATTTAATCTTTCAGTGATTTACCCAGACATTATTTCTTCTTAATATAATTGAATAATTTCAGACCATCCAAACATCTATTTTAGTAGGCAGAGTGCATGTCTTTCATGTGTAAGACACTGGACTTCCCCCCCCCATGGTGTACATTGCATGTGCTGGCATCAGTTTACCCACTTCCCAGCACTCAGGAAGCAAGTACAGGTAAATAGATCTCTGTGAGTTGGAAGCCAGCATGATCGACATAGTAAGACCCTGTCTAAAACAGGAAAGAAAAAAAAAATCAAAGCAAGAGAGCTTTAGATGTTAGCCTACAAATGGAGGGCCACCCACATTAAGTTGGAAGGGAGCACTGCTTTATCTTCAAGCACTCTAACACAATTTAGAAGTGTTGTCAATTGTCAGGAATCAAAATCCCACAGATGAGGTTGGCAGCAATGAAGAGCCAAAACTGCTGGTGAGGTGGGTGAGTCACTAGTATCTTCCTGTAGTTAGAAAGTGCACCATGAGTTGTAATTTAGGAAAAGTGGTGTGTGAGAGAAAGACACCATGCACAGGGTTCAAGCAGAGGGGTTTTTGTTTGTGTTTGTTTGTTTGTTTTTTAATTAGGGAAAGAGATTATAAAAAGGGGAAAGGGGAGGGGAGAGACTGGTCTCTGGGGACATGAGCAGCAGGAGAGAGGAAAGGGGGGAGGGAAGAAAGGAGGGAAGGGGATGGAGGAACAGACATGGAGAGAAAGAGAGGGAGAGAGGATGGGAGGTGGGCATCCCTTTTAAAAGGGAAAGTAGTGAATGTGCATAGGTGGCTGCAGCTGAGGGCGCATCCTGTCAGAACCCCAAGGGCAGGCCAGTACAGATGCCTGAATACTATCATCATGTGTGTGCCCAAGGAAGTCAGAGGAGGGTATTAGATGCTCTGGTAATGGGGTTACAGAAGGTTGGGAACCCTTGCGTGGTTATAGAAATTGAACTCAGCTGCTCTGCAAGAGCATCAGGTGGTCTTAATTACTGAGATAGCTCTCTGGCCCCAGAAACACTTTTCTTAGGAGCTATTTCATGTTGACAAAATTGCACATCTAATAAAATAATAAACACGCGTGTTGTTTTCGATCAATATTAATAAGTATTTCTCTGCCAATGACCCAACAGTTCTGCCCCATCCTTTGATGAGTTACACAATCAGTGGGACAGAGAAACCTGCGGTCAGCGTGCTCAGGCAGGGCCCCCAAAGTGGCTCAGTGAGTACAGCTGCTCGCTGTTCAGCATGAAAAGTTGAGCTTGAATACTAGAACCTACACGGCAGAGGTACAGGCTCCCACCACTTGTTATCTAACCTCCAAACATACTCTGTGACACACACTCACCTGCACACAATGAAGAAGTAAATGCCAGAGGAGTTTTAAAGTGTTAAGGCTGAGTGAGCTTGTTTTTATATGTACATCTGATTGATGCCTATGTAATAACAAATGCTGGAGGGTCATCTGTATAATTGCTCTTTCCAAATCGACACCACTGGTCCTATCTACCCCTGGGAAACATGAAAACACCACTTTCCTTGGTTTCCCCATTTCACTATGGTTCTGTTGTAAATGTTTATATTAAGGATAGCATTAGGATATACAATGCCTTTACAGTTTTTAAGTAGCTGATCTTTTTATTCTACAAAGGTAAAATGCTATTTTTTTTTGTTGTTGTTAGCTTCCACAATGTCCAGTTGTCATAGGTATCCATCCATGCCTACATGTAAGTTTATGAGAAATAACTAATAAGGTAGTTATATGTAAGCAGCCTTCAGTAAATATGGAGTAATTCCTATTTTTTGTTATCACGAATGCTATTAAGGGGAATGAAGTTGTATAGTATACTATGGCACTTATCAAGATTTTGGTGTTTTTTCTGTATATTAGTTCACATAAAAGATTGTAAGCATGGATGCCTCTGATGCTAGAAGAGTTAGTAGGAAGATATTATCTAGGCAGTTATGTTTTACTGAAAGTACTGTATGCAGAACATAAGAAAGTGTGCAACTGTTATAGTCGTGTCAAATTGTTTTATGTCATGGGCCAATAACAGGCTACAAGTTGGAGTAACAGCCATAACATCAAATATAGATGATTGGATCTCATACATGTGGCTAGTTTTTATGTGCTTAATTTCTCAAGGTTAATAACTCTCAGCACTACAGATGACAAAATGACATGAATATATTTTCAAAGTAAATAACAACTTGGGCATTTTTTCTTTTTAAATAAATTTCAGGTATATTACAATTGTTCCTGTATTGAAAAGAAAGCAGAAATCACATCGACTGTAGAAAGTACTGACTTTGAAGCTAAAGCTGGAAAATGTGAAACTCGGTGTGCAAACTTGCCCGTATTTCTTGGCATTTTCTTCATTATTGTTGTCTTTACCTTTATGGCAGGTACTCCAATAACTGTGTCTATATTAAGGTAAGTGTTGCACTCTGAAACTTGCATATCCTATAGAAGCATGTTGTGGACTCAGAGGTTCAATTGAGCGTTTTATTGAGTCAAGCAGTTTTGCCCTAATGCAGCATGAATTCTGGGACTGCATAGAAGCTCAGAGGTGTGAGATTTAAAGAAACTAATGTGTGAAAATGTCTTACTGTTGCCCATGTTACATTCATTGGGCATTTGTCTTTCTGTGGTTCACACATGGCCAGTGTCAGCTGGAGACTTGCTCAGTTGTGCGCAAGTATGGTGGCACCATCACAACAATCCTCATTCTAAATTACACAATAGGTGCTGATAAATCAACTCCCTATAAACTGCTAAGAAGGTAGCTTTCATGTGGGCATTGTTTATGCTTTTCATTTTGGGATTTTTTTCTTCCTTTAATGCTTTTAATGCTGTTTTTACAAGTGGCCTCTTGCCTAACAAACACCTGGCTTTTTTTTTTTTTTTCTTAGCAACTTGACTCTCAACATTTACTATCATTTATATGTTTTAATAAGTGGAAAGCATATGGATTCTAAATTATATTAAATACCTAATATTACCTGTGAGTTTGAGGTATTTAGTAAAAGGAATGATAGTTTGGAAAAATCATTTAAATTATATAAGACACGTTTTAACTACTTGCATATTTGTGTGTGTAGTCTTGTTTTGTATTTTTAGACAGTAATTCATTATGAACTCAGACTGGACTCAGACATGCATGGATTTTTCTTCTGGTTTAGGCTTCTAATTTCTGAGATTACAGGCTTGGGCTGTAATCTGCCTGGTTTACTTACTTGTTTAGAAAGAAAAATCTTTTTCGTCTCTCACATGACTCCCTTGTATGATATCACACATTATTGTAATTAAACAGTCATTAAAGAAAGAACTAATATTATTGAATTCAGAAATTGTTTTTCATTGCTTCAGTTTATATACTTATCCTATATGTGTGAGATTCCAGTCTTAACTTTAGAATAAGTTAGTATATTTGAAGCTTAGTTAATAGTGATACTTGAAGTACTAACTATAATAAGATAATGATAAAAATAATAGTAATAATAATAATAGGTCTGTGAAGAATTGGGCTGGGACGTTGATGGGGATCGCCTTTAATCTGTAGATTGTTTTTGGTAAGATTGCCATTTTTACTGTGTTGATCTTTCCTATCCAAGAGCTTGGGAGATCTTTCCATTTTCTTGTAGCTTCTTTGATTTCTTTCTTTAAAGATTCAAAGTTCTTGTCATACAGGTCTTTCACAAGTTTGGTTTGAGTCACCCCAAGGTATTTTATGTTGTTTGTGGATATTGTAAAGGGTGTTGTTCCTCTGATTTCTTTCTCAGCCCATTTATCATCTACATATAGTAGGGCTACTGATTTTTTTTTTAATCTTGTATCCAGAACAATTCTTCACAGATTTCAAAGGACAATACTCAACTTTATATGGAAAAACAAAAAACCCAGGATAGACAAAAACAACCCTGCACAGAGGCCCAGAGGCATGACCACCCCTGACTTCAAGCTCTACTATAGAACAATAGTAATGAAAACAGCTTGACACTGGCACAAAAACAGACAGGTAGACCAATAGAATCAAAACCCTGATATTAATCCACACACCTATGAACCTGATTTTTGACAAAGAAGCTAAACTGATACAATGGAAAAAAGAAAGCATCTCCAACAAATGGTGTTGGCACAACTGGATTCTGACATGTAGAAAATTGCAGATAGATCCATATCTATTGCCATGCACAAAACTTAAGTTCAAATGGATCAAAGACCTCAACATAAATCCAGCCACACTGAACATCTTAGAAGACAAAGTGGGAGGCATGGGTTGAATTGGTACAGTAGATCTCTTCCTGAACATAACTCCAGTAGCACAGACACTAAGATTGACAATCAATAAATGGGACCTTCTGAAGCTGAGAAACTTTTGTAAGGTAAAGGACATAGTCAACAAGACAAAACGGCAGCTCACAGAATGGGAAAAGATATTCACCAACCCCACATCTGACAAGAGAACTAATTTCCAAAATATACAAAGAACTCAATAAGCTAGCCACCAAAACACCAAATAATCCAATTCAAAGGTGTAAATGCAATTCAAAACAGCTCTGAGATACTATCTTACACCAGCCAGAATGGCTAAAATAAAAAACACCAATGACAGTTTATTCTGAAGAGGATATGGAGAAAGGGGTACACTTTCCAGTTCTGGTGGGAGTGCAAACTTGTGCAGACATTTTGGAAAGCAGTCCAAATGGTAATTTCTCAGAAAAAATGGGAATCAATTTACCTCAAGATCTTGCAATTCCACTCTTGGACATAAGCCTAAAGGATGCACATTCACATAACAAGGACACCTGTTCAACTGTGTTCATTGTAGTGTTTGTAATAGCTAGAACTTTGAAGCAACCTAGATGCCCCTCAACCCAAGAATGGATGGAGAAAATATGGTACATTTACACAATGGAATCTTGATATTCTCAGGCAAATGGATGGAACTGGAAGAAACCATCCTGAGTGAGGTAACCCAGTCACAGAAAGGCAAGCATGTTATATACTCACTCATATATGGATATTAGACATAGAAGAACAGATTACTAACCTACCATCCACAACTCTAGAGAAGCTAGGAAAAAAGAAGGACCCTAAGAGGGACATACATGGTTCCATGGAGAATAGGTAAAGGGACAAGAGCTCCTGAGAAAATTGGGAGCATGGGGGAAGAGAGTTAGGAAAAAGAGAAAGGGAGAAGATGAGGGGAGAGGACAACATGAGGGATCAGGAAGACTGAGTCAGGGAAGAAAGAGGAGAACAAGAAAAGAGATATCACAATAGAGGAAGCCATTATAGGTGTAAAGAGGAATCTGGTACTAGGGAAATGCCCAGAGATCCACAAGGAAGACCCCAACTAACAATCTAAGCAATAGTGGAGAGGCTGCCTTAAATGCCCTTCTCCTATAATGAGATCGATGACTACCCTATATGCCATCTTAGACCCTTCATTCAGTAGCTGATGGAAGCAGAAGCAGCTAAGCTAAGCACTGAGTTATACTCCTGAAATCCAGTTGTAGGGAGGAGTGATAAGCAAAGGGGTCGAGACCATACTGGAGAAATCCACAGAAACAGCAGATCTAACCAAGTGAGAGCACGCAGGCCCCAGTCATAAACCTGGGGGAGGGAACCAGCATAGGACTGGACCTAGCTCTCTGAATGTGGGTACCAGTTAGGAGGCCTGGACAGTCTATGGGACCTCTGACAGCAAAACCAGTGCTTATCCTTGGTGCACAAATGGGCTTTGGGAGCCCATTCCACAAGGAGGGGAGTCCTCCCTGAAATGATGTGAGAGATTTTGATGATCCCCCAAGGAAGGCCTCACCCTTTTAGGGGTTGGATCGGGGTGGGATGGGGAGGTCAAAATGTGGAGGATAGGAGGGAGAGGGAACTGGGATTGATATGTAAAATAATATTGTTTCTAAACTAAATAAAAAAGGAAATAATAATAATAATAATGATGATCTTAACCCAGGTGTGGTGGTATCTGCCTATAATCCTTGCCAAGAAAGAATTTCTTTGTTTTGGTTTGTTGTTGTTGTTGGTGGTGGTATAGACGCTAACTTAAATTGCTTTCCAGACTCATTGCAATGAGTAGTCAATCAAATTTGTATGTACTACTATTAAAAAATATATTGTAATGCACATCTGATATGAAATTATTACCATATGTTAATATCCACAGCCATTATCTTACAGTCACCATTTTTATACATATGCAGATAAATAAATAAATATATATATATACACACACACATAATACATGCATATATATACACATATATGTGTTTTATATATACTTTGATATAAGTGTTGAATTTATTTTTTTTGCATATGAATAGAGAATGTATAATTTTCTGAACGTGCCAAATATATGTTCTTGATGTCCTTGTCAAACAGAAGTTGCATATACATATGTGTGAGCGTGTATGTGTTTTGTTCCATTGATCTCTGTGTACATTTTTATGACAGAGCCATATTTTTTTATTATTATAGCTTTGTTATTGTAGCTTGAAATCTGGTAATAATATGCCTCCAATTTTGTTCTTATTGACCAAAATTGGGATAGCTATGCTGGGTCTTTTCCATGCGAATTTAAGATTGTGTTTTCTATTTTTTTGTGAACAATTTCATTAGCATTTTGATGGGGATTTTATTCTAATTGCTTTGGAGAGTATGGGATGTAAACAACATTATTTTGATTTGTGAACATTACAATGCCTCTCAACATCTTCTTATATTGTTTTGATGTCCAAGACTTTTTTTTTTCCATTTGTTTAATCCCAGGTATTTAGTTACTTTTTTATTTTATTGTAAGTGGGTTTTTTTTCCTTAGTTTTCTTTATGGATATTTTATAGTATGTAGAAATGTAACTGATTGGTAATGTTGGTTTGGTATCCTCGAATTTATTCATACAAATATTTCTTTTTATGGAGACTTTATTCCATCTAAAAATGGAGACAGTTTCTTCCTTCCCAATTTGTAGGTATTTTCTTTGATTTTGTTACCTACTTCATCTGTACAGAATTTGAACACTGTGAGAGTGGCCATGCTTTCCTACTTCTACTCTCAGAGCATTGACTATATTACCCATGATCTTTTTCATTTGTAACTTCTATCTTGCTGAAGAACACCCCCACCCTGTGCCTAATCTGTTCAGAGGTTTTATGAAAGATAGATTTTGTAATTGAATGCTTTTTCTGTCTTTTGATTTTTGAGACAGGGTTTGTGTATCTCTGGCTGTCCTAGAACTCACTCCATAGGCCAGGCTGGACTTGAACTCAGAGATATGCCTACTTCTGCTCCCCAAGTACTGTGATTAAAGGCATGCACCATCTCAACTGGCAAATTGGATTTCTTTTTCTTTTAACTTTGTTGAAACTCTGAGAGGCTAATGACTTTTGGTGTTAGTTTTAATTCTTTACTACTGATAAAATTGTTCTTGTGTAATCCTGGGATACTTTCTTTGTATAAGATTTTACAAGTATTTTAATATGAACAGCATTCACTTGAGTAGAAATGCTAAGCTGATTTCCGTGTGAAAGTGTGATTATGATTAATATATGCCCTGAGTTTTCTTCTTATTTGTTTGGAATATGTTTGCAGGTGTGTCAATCACAGTCAGCGGTCTCTAGCATTGGGAGTACAGTTCATGTTACTGCGGTTGATAGGTATGTTATGTAAAAACATTAGTATGTGCTGGTTTGGTTCATTAATGTTACTTAGACATTCAGATATGTTACACATAATGAAAGATAAAGGAAGTATAGTTGTCATTGATGGAAGCTGTTTTCCAACATTCATGACATAGCACTGTTTACATGACACGGGAATACAGCATCTCACCTGTCTGAATTGTTATCTGTTATTTCTAACACCATGGAAATATAACCCCATGGGAATATCCAATTCATTTGAAATATGAGTTATGGATCTCAGAATTTAATTTATTTCTCACCACCTTTTATTTAATAGCTGAGCATATTCTTTGGCATGAATTATTATATTAATATTTTCAGTCTCCATTTGTTTGAATTCACTACTATGGAATATATAGAGATGAAGATTGCTTGTATGTAGACACGCATTGCTTCTTGACATGTGTGTGTGTGTAAGAGATACTCCACTACATGCCTGTGTGCGAACATGTTTGCTCATACACACATTCATGTTACATTATACACACATACCCACATTTGTGTGTATATGAATAGGCATGAAATATACAAACAATGCATATAATAGTTTATCAGCTATTCTGCGCACTGAAAATATTTATCTTTATTTTCTAAATCTGACATAGCCAGTTGCAAAGACAGATTCCTTTGTTACCTTATGAAAGGAGTAAACTAAAATATTCACTAAAGTAATATTATAAAAAGCTAGGGAAATGGGCTTTTGTAAGCTGTTGCTACATATAATGTATTTGTGGATATAACTGTATTTGCATCAATTTAAAGATTTTGCAGATTCTCAAACATTACTTGGTTCCTTACTACTACTCATAGTTTTGTATCAGATAAAAAATCAAAATAAGATATTTTTCTGTGTTAACCCAATATAAGATTAAAATTGTCTTCAATGGTTTTAACATTTATTTAGTGTATTGTATGTGTGTGCATTGTGTGGGAGGACACATGAATCACGTGTAGAGGACAGGACAGCTTTCAGGAGTAAAGTGCCCTTATTTGATGACCCTCTCACTGGTCCCAGTGATAATGATTTCTATTAAAGCACTGTTATGAATTGTTTAGAAATATATTATTGCATATAATTATTTAAAATATTTGTCAATTTTTATATCCCTTTTATATATGAATGAATTGGCTAATGGATAGAGTAGGCCTATTGGTTATGAGTTATAATCTTCACCCATTTTCATTTTGCCTTTCATTCCTCTAGGCACAATACCTGGACCAATTATATTTGGCGTCACAATAGACAGCACATGTGTTCTGTGGGATGTCAATGAATGTGGAGTTAAAGGAGCTTGCTGGGTTTATGATAACATCAGGATGGCCCACATGCTGGTAGCCATAAGTAAGTTGACATCTTGGTAACTTTAGAGTGGACTAATGTGAATCATGTTGTTAGCTATTTTCAGTTCAGGCCATTCTGTGGGGGAAATCCTACATTTCTGACGCTGAAACATGATATCAGAGGTAAAAAAATACAATTTTCACTTTCTGTGTATTTTCATTTGCTATTTTAGAGCAACTTCTCTTAAATGTTTGGGAAAGTATACACAAAAGGTGAAAGAAACTAGGTAAAACGGTAGCAGAGGAACGTCCTGCAGCTGCAAGAAGTATTTTACCATTCGTAGCTTTTCACCATGATCTTTAATTCATTTGGTTGATGGTAGTCTATACCTTCTTGGTTAAGTGATAAATTCAAGATAAGATTAATAAAGTATGGTATACATCTAGAATGTAACAATTTGACAGTGAAACATTTCCTATCAATGTAAGACATTGCAATGTTTAAATATAGAAAACTCTTAGTTGGGCATAATGGCACACAGCTGTGATCCTGAAATATGGGGAAGCTGAACCCAGATGATATGTATGAATTTGAGTCCAACCTAGGCTGTATAGTGAGTTTCAGGCCAGTTTGAGCTAAGAATGAGACATTGTCTCTTACACACACACACACACACACACACACACACACACTCAGAGAGAGAGAGAAGGAAATGTCAAATATACACATGTCATTTGGTTTTCATTGCTATGATTTTTAACACATGTCAAGATATACTTTTTACTCTATATATAGACCAGAGTATACTAGCAATATACTAGCACAATATCTACTGAAAAATAAATAATAAATATGCAAACTCACAATGAGAGAAAATATTAAGTAGTCTGGATACAATTAATCTCATCAGTTTTTACCTACTATGCAAATTCTTTTTATTCTACTTGTTCATAAAATTTCCTTGATGAGGGATGAAGACTGCACTTAACAGTCAGTGGGTATAAGGACAGATGTTTAGCTTCTTGTTAGGCTTCTGGCCTACATGAAGAACTACAAGTACCCAGGGAGTGTTACGAGCAGGGTAATCTTCCCCAGGGAAGAGCCACCAATTGGTTATCCAATACCAAGTGATCAGCCTTGAAATCATGCATACAGGTAAGTAACATACAGACCAGGCAGGTTGCATTTAGGAATATTTATAGATATGCATACATGCATATAATAATAATTCATGAAAAAAGCCATGAATTTAAACAAGAACAAGAAGGGGTATTTGGGAAGGTCTAGAGGGGAAAAATTAACAAATAGGAATTTGATTATAGGAAGAACTACACTGTAAGATCATTTTCAATTCTTAAACTTCGGAATGCTGAATCTTATGGTGGAAAGTAAAGTATCTTTATGTACTTGGGTCACAAAGGAAGTATCTGACAACAAATTAAAATTTGTGCAATAAATCTGAATTAATCAGGGTTTTAGCTGCTATATCAGAGCAAATTTGGGTATTAAATGTGACGTATTCATATCCAGGAACTTCTCTTAGGAACACGGCAGCCTTTTTACTTTTAATATTATTTTCCATTTATGACATGGAATTACTTTATTCAAGTCTAGGGATAGTGAGGTGTTTTATTTCATTATTGACTCTTGATTGCTTTTTGTCCCCTTGAATATGGTGTGTGTTCACAAACTCAGAAACAGAGCACAGAGACTGGGTGTGATGGTGGTACACATGAGTAGTTCCAGCTCCCATGAAGCTGAGATCACATGATTATTAGTTAGATGTTAGTCTGGGCCACATAGCCAAATAGCATCTCAGGCAGAAAAACAAAAGTGGGCAAAGAATTTACTGACTTCAACATAACACACAGCATCAATTTTGTAATTATACTCAAGAATAGAATAATTCTTATCATATATTTTACTTACATCTTTACTTATTTTAATAAAAACCACTAACTTATTAACATCATTACTTTGAGAGGGGGTCTTGCTCTGTTTTAAACTGCCTAGAAATTCCTTGTGAAACTCTGGCTGGCCTCATATGTGAGTCCTTGTTTCTGCTCTCTGAATGTTGTGATTTCGTGTGTGTGCTACCACACTCAGTTCCTCTTGTGGCCTAAAATTTGAAAATATAGACTTTCTATTCCCTATGACTATTTACTTTAAAGTAGAACATTTCTGTGTGTGAACAGTCACTCAGTGGAAACTCGTTTTCATTGTCAGCAATGGTCCAAAGGCATGCCTTTTGTCTTGTATGTAGGTGTTACTTGTAAAGTCATCACCATGTTCTTCAATGGACTTGCAATTGTCCTCTATAAACCACCACCACCAGGCACAGAGGTGTCATTTCAAAGTCAGAATGTTGTTGTGTCTACTATTTCCATAGAAGAGGATCTCAACAAAGTTGAAAATGAAGGATGAGAAAGGAAAAGAGAATGCTTTGGAAAACTGGCTCCTGTCTGTAAGAACACACTGTCCCAGGACACCATTTTCTAGTTCATGTTAGACTTTTCCCTTATGAACCCATGTTCCACAATTGAGGTTGTGTGTTGTCTATGTACAGATACCTATGTTTGTTATAATGCAAAAAAAAAAAAAAAAAAAGAAAAAAAAAGAAAGAAAGAAAAGAAAAACAAAGAAAAAAACCAACCAAACAAAAAAATCCTGTGCCTTTAAAGTTCACCAGAAGCCACAAACCATACAGATTCTTATTGGCTTCCATTGTCTAGCCATGAGATCATCAAGGCATAACAACAGTGGCTAACAACAAGTAATTAAAAATTTACAGTGAAAAACCACAGGTGCATAAATACAAATTAAAACATCAGTTTTTGTTTTCCTTTTTGTAAGACCTCACAGATCCCCAGCTTCCCAGGAACTCCGGTAGCAAAGGATGACCTTTGATTCCTGATCCAACTGGCACTACACCTCAAGTATTGGTGTCAGAAGTGTATGTCACCACCAGGGCTCACATTGACATTTTTAAACTCTTTATGTAACTAGTTACACTTCAATTTTCATCATCAATATTTTCAATTTATTTGAGAAGTTTACAGCATAAACATTTAAGCTAATCAAATTTATGTGACAGTTTTTGGGAGTAGTTATTTAAAAATCATGAAATTCAAGGCAGCCTTACAATGTAATTTGTTTTTATATTATATTTCCTGTTCTGCCATTTATTTTCATAGTAAGTTGCTGAACTGGTAGAATGTAGCATAGTTATCTTCTTTGTGTTCTAGTGCGTTTCCAGCCTTAGGCACATCAGCATTGACTATAAATGTTTTCAACTTAAAATAAGACTTCTAGGAAGTAATTTGTTAATATTATTGACTTTTAACACTAAAACATGATTCTGTGAGAGTATTATTGAATTATATATTTTTAGAGGAAAGAACCAGCTCCGCCAATGGAAAGTGCCATGTAGACCTGAGAAGCTGTCACAGTGCACTATTGACAAATGCCTATGCATTGAATACTTCAAATTTTATTTTCCAACCTAACCACTTAGCACATTACTTAGAGGAACCCAAGCAGAGTTTCGTTTAATAAGCATCAGATATTAGTTAAAAGTTTTAAATTCTATAATGCATTTACCAGAAGTGCAAGTAGTTCATTTGTCTGACATCAGAAGACCTAAGGCCCATCTGTGTGGGTCCCTGACAAATTTCCTTAAAATACTGAAGAGACTGGTTTTTTAGCATCAGCAAAACTAACTCACTATTGTGAAAACTACTTCTAAATAAGGAATGTAGGCCTGCCTCTGGAGGCAGAGGCAGGAGGATCTCTGTGAGTTCAAGACCAGCCTCGTCTACAAGACCAGCCTCGTCTACAAGAGCTAGTTCCAGCACAACCTTCAAAACCACAGAAAGACCCTGTCTGGGAAAAAGAAAGAAAGAAAAGTATTCCAAGCCTAAGGATGTGGCTGAATGCAATTTCTAAATCTAAATCTGATACTCGGTATTGAGAAGGTCTACTCAAAACTGAGGGTCATTATAATTGAGTTGTTTTTGCAAATTAAAGCTTCTACTTAATAAGGTTTGAAATCCTGTTGCCCTGCCAGCCAGCACCAGACAGCGCCACCCTCGGTATTTCTTAATAAGCCTCATGTACCAGATTCCCCATCAGGACAACACGGACCTGGGGGAAAGACCTAGAAGAAAGTAGGAGTCAACAGCATTATAATTCTAAGAATTTATATTTCTGTGTCTGGTGGCAATCTGTGTGGGATCAAGGACCTCAGACCCTGATAGCACTTAGAGGCTTAAATCCAAGAAGTAGTAATGAGCTAGGAGTTTAACTTGCAAGCACCTTGAATAGTAAATGCAGTCTCAGGAAACAGAGGGCTAGACCTACTTAACTCAGGAATATTTATGTACCAAAAAATTAAAATAAATGGTACAGCCAAAATCCAGGTGTTTGGGGGAGGAGATCACTAAAGGGACAATACAAGAAAGACAGGAAACACACATGATACCTCAGGTGAGAATATGCATCCCCATCTTCCAGGCATATTATAAATACTCCTCCATTATGGCCAAGGGTAATAGAAGTTAGACTTTCTACATCCTATGTGGAAGCATGGAATCTGGTAGAAAAACAGTAACATAATGGCATTCTTGAGAAGTTCAGGGATAGAAATATGAAATGAGAATAAGAAATAAAACAGATGATCCATACAAATAGGTTAGTATATGGCCTTAACTTAGGGAGAAGGAAAAAAATATCTTAAACTTCTAGCAAACAGGTCAATAAACAGTTGGCATCCATAATGATTAGTGTTCATCACACTGACATTGTCTTCAGTATACTCAGTTTTGAAGTATTTTTTTTGTATTTTTTTAAACAAGCTTGCAAATGAAAATGGTTAAAGGGAACCAATAACTTTCGAATTGCATGTACACATTAAGAAAGGATACGTTCATTTGAGATAAGGTAAATACACTACTGTAATCTTCATTGTTTATACTTGTAAATTCATGTATGTTGGTATGATACTTTGAGAGTCCATGTTCATAATATGTGTTGGTCACAGCTTGTAATTATTTTAAAACAACTTTCAGGTGGACCTGCTGTAATTTTGTACATATTTGACTATATTTTAAATTTTGTCATATTTTAATTTTCTTAACTGCAGAAAACAGAAATATAAAACTCATACATGTGAGGAAATTGTATACATTTGACCTTGATATGTACATTGGGAAAAGATATACATACATGAAATATAGACCTATTTTCTTTGTTGAAAACAGCTCTGTAAACAATTACTACATGTAACTTTGATTAAATCAGAATATTTGTATTACATTGTTTTAAGTGTTTGATTATGTCTCTTTCTCATCGCTGTGGCAAAACACCAGACTAAACCCTACCAGAGCCACTTAAGGGAGAAACAAGGCACCTTGGTCACAATGTGAGATTAAAGGCTACAGTGGTGGAGAAGGCACAGCAGCAGGGCTGTGACTTCATGTCAGGACTCAGAGAGGAGTGGAGGCTTCTGCTCAGCAAGCTTTCTCCTGATTCAGTATAAGACCCCAGCCAGGAAGTGGTACCACCCTCATTTAAGGTGGAGCCTCCCACCTCCATGACTGGATATTTGTTCCCATGGGGATTCCCAATCCAAAGTGAGTAACAATCAAGGATGACAATCATGAGCAATCTTGTAAAAAAAAAAATTAACTTCAAAGAAAAGACATATTTGATATATAGTTTCGAAGATTTAGTCCATGGTCTTTTGGCTGCATTGTTGCTGAGCTTATGGTGAGCCAGAGCATAAAGGATGGGGGCCAAACTGCTTTTCTCATAACAGCCAGAAAGCAGAAAAAGACCCTTCAAGGACATGCCCACAATGACTGGCTTTCTCCAATTTCTTAGTTTCATCCACCCCTCCTCCCCCCCCCCCGCCCCCAGTAATTTCCCCAGCTGCCAAACAAACCTTTGAGGACATTCCAAATTCAAACTGTGACATTAAGCCTGATAATCTCTGGAAGATGATGTACCTTTATGAATCTAAGCATGTCTTGTGGATGGGAAAGGGAAAACAATGTGCTTTTAAATATGGTGAATACAATCCAGTGACTTTACCTCCTACTAGATGTATATAATTAAATAACAACAGGATTTATTACCATACTAGGAGAATTATCTTACATTATAGTTTAAATGTTTGAAACATGCAAGAATAACACATAAGGTTTTGTACATATTTTTGTAGATGTTAATTATCTGCTACTTACAAAAGTAACATTTCATCTTGGCTTACCAAAATGCCCCATACAATACTTGTGAAGAAATCATGTCAGACAGTAATAGTCTTTACATGCTCTAGATCCTATCTGTGTTTCAGTGTTCATTTGTCCTGGATTGTTATCCTTTCCAATTAAGAACAGTTTTTAATTCTTCCCTTTAATTCCTCATCTTTTTGTCTATTGGTGAGTCTTTAATTTCAAATATTACCTTGATACGAATATGAATTGTTCTAAGTTTCTGTGCATCAGGAACCTGGGATCACATTTGATGGCTGGTTCCAGTAGTTAGAAGTCTATTAAAAGGTTCTGCTAAAGATGTTGACTTGGAATTTAATCATCTGCAGACTTGCTTGAGATTGGGTGATCTGCTTCTAAGAAGGTATAGTCATTTGGTTGTTGTGAAAACACCCCATTCCTTAGCATGTGGGACTGTGGCAGGATGATTGCTACAGTGGAATGTGAAAGAGGGACCAACTTCAAGCTGTAATGTTTTTGTGAAATGATTTTGAAAGTGTTCATACAAACCTCGTCATCTCCCAACTGGATGGCATTCCCCTACATATGGAATTGGGGTAGAGGGATGGGAGGGGAGGGTGGTTAGGGTGCATGTGAGAGGGCAGAGAGGGTAAAAGGGAGGGAGGGAGGACGAAGGAACTGGGATCAACATGTAAAATAATAAATTAAAAAAAAAGAAAAAAAAAAAAAAAAAAAAAAACCTCGCCATCTTATGTAGACCTTCAAAAGACTGTTACCATGGGCCAAGGTTCATATCCACTTTACTAAAGCAGGTGAGGGAAGAGATCTTTAGAACTCCCCCAGAAGTGCCTGACACCATGTAGGAGGGAAACCTCAAAAGCATGTCTGCACAGCCTGAGGCAGACTTACCAGAGTAAGTACTCTTGAAGACGGCCTGTGGCATAGGACTTTGCTGTTCATGAAGGGTAGGCCAACTATTTTATAAAATATCCTTCAATATTGATTTCTCTGATATATCCAATGACTCATAAGGATACTATACATCTTTGGAATAACTAACCTGGAAACGGTGCTATGTTCTACCAGTAGTTCCATAAAAACAAGTACATACCTGTATGTAATGGATGAGTTGGTTAACATGTATTTCTGACAGCAATGAACACTTTAGGGTTATTTGTCCCTTTGTTGTTGAGGAACATCTCTTAGAAAGATACTTGTACATGATAACAACTACCTGATCTCCTAACAAACTTTCACCCACATATTTTGGCATCGTTTTTTTAATCCTTGCCCACATCACCAATATTGACCTCTTATTTCTACCGCTTCTTTAAAGGTTATTAAAAAGTATATTACTATATAGAAGACATACCATGTTGTCCTGTTTATAAAGTTACCTAATACATTGGGAAATATCAATGTTTACACTGTTTCATAGATGTGGACATTATCAGGTTGGTGCCTGCATTTTTTTGATTTTTTTTTATATCCATATAATTTGAGCATTTCCTGAGAGCTACAGAGCTTTCGTGATTCCTTTGGTACTTCCCCTTCTATATTGTCTCCTGCTTCCTGTTTTTGAAGGATGACATTTACGAACTAAGAGTTTTCACAACAACTCATTCCCCAATTCTCTTTCCACTGATATGTGAGTGTGTGTATGGATACTTCGGATGGCAGCCTAGTGCCATGGAGTTCACTGTGGCCCTCCTTTCACTTACTGGTAGAGCCTTTCTCTATAAGAAACCTGGCTCTCACTACTTATATCACATTACTTTTTCTATATTTGAGTATTAGTTTTTTCTTTTGCTGGTGTAACAAACTTAGTGTCATGTCACATTAGCACCCCTTTACATCTTATAGTTGTGTGGATGAGAAATCCAGACAGGAATAAGATCCATGATTATTGTTTATTGGTTACTGTCATAACAAAGAGAAAAGAGATTGGTAGATAGAAAAAAATAAACTAAGACTTTTGCTTGAATGTTTTGTTTTCTGATTGTGTGTGTGTGTGTTTCGGTTTCTTTTTTTAATTATTTGTTTTTTCTAGTGAAAGAAAGATGGAGTGTGAAGGTTCGTAGGTAGGGATGTGAGGAAGATCTGGGGAGAAGCTGAGGAAGGAGGTAAAAGCATGATCAGGCCATATTGTATGAAAAATTTTAATTAAAACAAATGGCAGATATAACAAAGCAATTTAATCCCAAGCATTCAGGAAGACAAACAAACAAAAACAAAAAACAGGAAAAAGGAAAAGAAAGAAAGCTAAGACCCAATTCCCAGAAGAATGGTCTTTATAATGAAAGAGAAAATCTTGACCATAGGAGCTTGTATAGTAGAGCCTTGAGATCGAAGAACATTAGCAGTGATCCATCACACCAGGGGCATCATGATGGAGCACCAAAGGGAGAGAAACGTCATCACGAAAAGTGATTAAAGTCAAGGAGAAAGAAGGAAAGCCAGGTGAACAACTCTGGGAGAACTTAAAGGAGAGAGCCGTCAGAAAAGTCACCTGATCATAGATGATGTCTGATTTTAATAATGCATAGTAATAATAATAGTAACCCTGTCTCAGCTAGGGTTACTATTGCTGTGATGAAACACTACTACCAGACCAAGCAACATGAGGAGTGTGGTGGTTTGAAAAAAAAAATAGTCCCCAGAGAAAGAGGCACTATTAGGAGGTGTGGTCTTGTCGGAGAAAGTGTGTCACTGTGGAGCCAGGCTTTGAGGTCTTCTATATATTCAAGCCACATTCAGTGAGACAGACCACATCCTGTTGCCTACAAGTCATGATGTTGGACTCACAGCTCTGTCTCCAGCATCAAGCCTGCCTACATGCCACCACATTTGACAACATAATGATACTGGACTAAACCTATGAAACTGTAAACCACTCAATGAAATGTTTGCCTTTATTAGAGTTCTGGTGGTCATGGTAACTTTTCATGCCAATAGAAACACTTAGCTGCTTGCCCTTGCTCAGCTTCCTTTCCTATAAAAGCCAGTATAACCAGCCCAGGGATGGAAACACCCATAATGAGCTGGGCTCTCTCCCACCAATCACTAACTAACAAAATGCCCTACTCCCAGATTCATGGAGAGGAACTAGGTAGTTCCTTTTCTCTTGCAGCGATGTAGGGGGAGTTTGCCTTACTCCCTCCCAACTTCCACAGATATTTATGTGGTTCTAACCTTCATAGCAGGGGTAGCTGCTATGGACTACAGGTGGCAAGGACAGATTTCTAAGAGGAAAAGGGCTCTTCAAGGGTTTGCATTCTAAGGGCTATTGTTGGAATCTAATATTGTTGTGTCCTAGAGACTATGCACATTTCTTGATTCATGCACCTCTCTCTTGCTCATTTTCAAAGCCAAAACCAGAATGATTGCTCTTAGTCCTACCTCAGCTTCCAGAGTGCTGAGATGACAGGTCTAGGCATCCATACCCAATGATCCTTGCCAGTGCTTAAGACTATGCCCCTGTCACTGTTCTGGAAGTAATGGAGGTATTCCAAAGGAACACCAATGCTCCTCTCCTTGGTAATTAGACTAAACAATGGACTTCAAGAAACTGTTATTTCTCTAGGCTTGTACTTCTGGGAAAAGGAAAAGGCTGAGGCCTCTGGGGCAACCCGACACCTGCTTATCTTGGGGAAAGACTTAGAATACAGACCTTGCTTACTGGAGCTCAGGCAATGGTGACAGGCTGGGCAGTAAGCACAACTTCATTGGGACAGTTCAGTTATTCACAACTCTTAAGTTCTCTAAACAGAAAGCTACCCGGAGGTCACTGAGCCTGTTTGCTCTTCTTTTCAATGCAGCCACCTAATATAAACCTCCTTTTTCTACTTTGCAAAATTACTCATTTATTTAATAGACTTACTGAAAAAATTGTGGTTATGCCACAAAGCTGAGCAAAGTGTTAAGAGGAAATATATCAGTACCCCGTGTTGTAATTTAAAATAAGTGGCTTAAGAGAGATACCATGCAACAGGGTTCCAGTGGAGTCTTATTATTATTATTATTATCATCATCATCATCATCATTATTTGAAAGGGATTATAAAAAAGGAAAGGGGGAGACT